AAACAAGCATTTGACCCTTACGAACGGCCTTAAGCGGAGTCGTGTTACCCAGGTCAAAAAGTATACTGACAAAAAACAACTTTCGCACCTCCAGCTCGACCTAATGTAGGCACCCGGGACCATCTTACAATGGCCCAAAACAGAGAGAATCAGTGAGAGCTCGTCGTCTAACAGACCATATACGACTCAATAAAGTTGTCTGACAACAGTCGCAAAGTAAAACAGAGGCGCGTCATCAAAAGTGCTAAAAGAAACAACCTTCTAGTGCAAGTCTTTGCGCCAGTGAGATCGATGTTGCCTTGAACAAAGGAGTTCGAGGGGTCCAACTTGAAAACAAACTGCAATTCGGAGCGAAGATATCCCCTAGCTCTAAGCTGCGGCCTCCACATACACAAACGCAGTGTCAAAGAACAAGACCCGACACACGGCGTGAGCAGCCAATCTCCTGAAACGGATCCAAACAGCCATATAGGCTTTTTCAAGTGTTTTGCAGCTTGGAAGAGAACGAACGAAAACCGTTGTGGTGCCGGAAAGATTCATGTTTCCACTAGGATGAGTGCCCCGGCCCGTCAACCTGGAGAGAAAGAACCTGTCCAACTGGGAAGAGTCTCGATTAGCGCTCAATTTGGCTGCCACACACTATCGCCCTCCCTGCCCCGGCTTGATCAAAATAACCACACTGGCACCGATATATCCGGCATGAGTTGAACCCAAGAGTCCTGAACTCTAGCCGAAAACAGACTAGTTTCCGGCCGCCCAAACGAATCAAATCATGTTCCGTGCTAGATGATCCCGGACAGGACTTGTATGACCATAAACAGAGGCAGCAAGAACAGAGGCAGCAAGAAAAAAAGCCAACATAGCAACCTTCCGGAATTGTAATGGATTGGTGGGATAGTCCCAATCAAAACAGACAGCGGTTTGGAGTCACAGATCAACCACTTTCGAAAAACAACCTTCCTATCGTAAGAAGCGGACAGAAGAACGAACTCGTGCTCACCACTCTCATCGTCCGACTTCAAATTTACCAGCTCTGGGACCCCCGCAGATTGCTCTCTTGTGACTTCCGCACTCCGAAGCTCCTCTTCTGCGTCCGACCCTACGTCGTCCTCTAGGGCCCCGTCCATCTCGTGCCGCAAAATGTCCCTCCATTCCTCGTTCATGCCCGTTGACCGTCCTTCCTCGGCTTCCTCTCCGAGCTTCAACCTGCACTCCTGAAGGAGATGCCCCTCCGACTCTAGCCAGCCTCGCTCTTCGCATTCTTCGTAAGCCTCCAAGGCCTCCTTCCACTGTGCCAGGTCAAAGTAGGCTTTGGCTAGGGTGCGGTGTAACCTGGGCTCTAGCCTTGCCTCCACCCCCAGCACCCACGCCGTTTGGGCCGCCATCAACGCGTGCGTAAACTGATTGTTGTGCTGGTACGCAAGAGTGCGGATGTACTCCGCATGACCAAAAAGGGGCCAAACCTTTAGAGCCCGCTTGCACAGATCGACCACGTGCGAAAATGGCCTCTCCGCGCGCCAAGGGATTCCAGGAGCCCAACCCTCCCACATTTCTTTAGCGTCTTGGTGCTTTCCCTCGACAAGTTGCTTCAGAATGAACGTCGCCAAGTCGTCCAACTCGGTGAGTTCGATCTGGGCTCGCCGAATCACCACGTGCTCACGCTTGGGCACGTATGCGTTGTAGTGGGAGACGCCATTGTACCGGAGGTACAGTGGGTGGTCAAAGCCATCGGTGATTTTCCCTTGCTCCGGCTCAAACCGGAGAGGCTGGTCGACTGGCAAGGAGGGGTGGTAGATAACGATCTCAACACCTAGCAGGTCCGCCATCACTTGCAATAGAAAAAAAAGCCATTGTGAATTCCAACAAGGAGCGTCGCGGTCCAATCTGTGAAAAATTCGTAACTTGTAACGCTCAGTCGCTAGATGATTCTCGATGCCGGTTCTCCGGACCAAGGTTGAACCTTTTGATAATGTTCGACAAAGTTTCAGGGTGTGACTGGTGGGAATGGCTCCTTTGCCCTTACGTTCCTGCAATAAACAAAGAGAGTCAAGTTGCTTCAAGACTGAGAAATTAGTAAAACTTCTCGTTTATTTCAATGATGTCCTTTAGGGGACAAAAACAAAGGGTCAAAAATCTTCAAAGTCCTTTGTTACCTCCACTCATGTATTGAATCGGGGTGTATATAGAGGGATATGGAATCGGTCAAAATAAGTCCTGAGAGATTTTTCCCCCGAAATTTTGCTTCCAACTCGTTCCAGGAGTGCGTGTTGCGCTTTTCCTCGAGGATTAAAATCACATGCCTTCTGACATCCAAAACAGAGGCGGGATGGCAAAGATCGATCAATTAACTCCGCAATCGTCCATTATCTTTGCTGTTGGTGTTCGTTTTGTCCCGAATAAAGGAACGAAAGAACAAAGTTCAATGCACCTCAAGCTCTATAGGCGGCCACAAGCCCTTTACCGTCACACCAACGATATAAACATAAAGAGTGCGACTCGCTCCGAGGAGAATAGTGGTTTTTACTCCAAGTGTTTCTGCAACATGTGCCGTCAAAGCTACAAACAGAGGGTAAAACATGCAGGATATGTCTAAAAGTTTCTTGATGTCGCTTTAACGAAGCTGTTCCACTTGTTTTCGGTCGAAACAAAGAACCAAGGAGACGAATTGGATACTGAGGCCTTTGGGTGTTGGCGCGATTGAACTTTTGAATCTGGTAAAAGAACAAAGAGAATCCAACCCGCTTGAAAGACAACGGATTGGCGCTACTCGATCTCGAGTCTTTCACAGAGCCAAGGCAGCCACAGAGCCAAAGTACAGAGGGTAAAGAAGAGGGATTCACTCGAATAAACATCGGGTTTTGTTGTCCTCCCCTTTCAATGTTGTCTAGGGTGTGAACAAAGGAACATGGAGCTGAAACAAAACGAATTCCTCATGAGCCGAAGCAAAATTCTCACCTTCGCTATGGCGTCCCCCAGAGGGTGATTCCATTGCCTCCTCTTATACTGAGCAATCATTGACTCCAGCTCCTCGGCGAACGTTAGACTCCCTTGGTCGTACCAATCAGGGTGCTCCCTCGCTTGCTTCCAGGCCGCCTCCATGAGACCGGGTACGCCCCCTTCGAAGGGCTTCCCTTGAGCAGCCAACCCGGTTGCCACCGCTAGAAACGCGCACAGCCCGTTTGGGCTTACCTCGAGTCGCACAAGATGAGGATGTCTGGCCGCGAATTCCTCGTCCATGAAGCGGAGGGCCTCCGTCTGATCGCTGGCGGGATCCCGCTTGCTAAACTCCTCGGCGCAAGAGGCAATAGCGTCCTCTAAAGCTTTCACCGCTTCTTCCAACTCAAGGCTTGAGGTTGAAAGAGCTGCAAGCTCCTCGATGCTTGAGATGACTAAGGGGAGTGCCGTCATCAGGATACGGTGTAGTGCGATGCTCTTTCCGAATCCCACAAAGGAAGTTGCAAGCTCATCCGCCATCGACGCGAGCCGTTCCTTGGGGAGTGCTTCTTTTCCGGGTTGATCGCCGAGGGTCTTCACCTTTCGAAAAGTCTCAAGGGCTCCCTCAAGAAGGCCCTCGATAGTTACCGCAAACCCCTCCTTCTCCCCCTCCGCGACCGTTTCAAACACCTCCAAAAGATGCACCGCCTGCTTCCGACAAGCCCTTAGAGCACTTGAGGCGAAATATCCATCTAGCTTCGAGGCTTCGATCAGCAACGACACCCCGGAGCCCTCCTCTCCCCGCTGTCCAATCTTCTCCAAACCCCGTTTCATCAACGCCTCTGCCCTCGCAGCTGAAGGATCTGAGTCGGAACTGGCTTGCGGTGCGGGATGGGGAGCACACTTCTCGTTCGGGCGGTTAGGCTGGAAGGCGTGCTTAGGTGCGCGCTCCGGCGGCTCCTCGGTGGTTGGTCGGAACGCCCCTCCTGGCTGCCCGGGCTTGGTGTTTGCGCACGCTGGAGTCGATCTGGGTGCGCGCTCAGGCATGCGCTTGGGCATGGTTTGGGTTGTGGGCTCGGGCTCGGGAGTCTTTGGCTCGTTACCATCTGCATAAGCGGAAAAGTACGATGCATCACATCCAGAAGAAATTCTGCTCTTCAAGATTAATGAACGGTGACTCTTTCAAGCGCGGCCACAACTACAGTGCCAAGACAAAACTCAAGCCTGGAACCACTTTAACAAGCCGGTACACTCAGCAGTACGACTTGTTTGAAGGAAACGGTATGCATTTCAGTTTCTGAAGAAGCAAAGAACCAGAACGGAACATGGTGATTCCTGTTGCCCGATCAGTATTCGATATTCGAAAACGTCTTCCCAAGTATGACGATCAAAAAGACTTTTTTGTCTTAGACTCAGTCATCTAGAAAAGGGAACATCAGAGCAGAATACATATATTCAAACATCTATCCGACCATTTAGTATGATCAAAGGAAGACCACGCGTACCCAAGTCCATAGGGTCAGCATTCCTTGTATCGAAGCCCTGCTCCTCCGTTGGAAGCAGAAAAATCTCTGCCGTTTTCAGAGCAGGACGCCATTTGGGCATCCCAAAGCGCCCCATCGGGATCCCCGTATCTCGATTGGACATCTGCCATGTGAGGAGGGTCAAAGAAGTGAAAACTTTCCAAAAGGCTCGGCTCGATGCAGATGTGATTCAAACCGCTCTTTGCCCTTTTCTTTCTCACGACAGGGCAAAGATTAGATCCCGAATTTCCATGATTCTCTCCATGCTGTCACTGCAGGACTTCCCTGGCGACAACCATCAAAACGACTTGTCCCTAGACTGAGAGGTAGCTAGCCAAGCTGATGTAAGCTTTTTTTCCAACTTTGAAAGTAAGATGGTGAATTAAAACTATACCAAGGCGCCGCTTCGTGTTCGTCATTCTTGACTTTAACCAGAATTTCCGTGTCGACTTCTGTACATAACATCAATCATGAGTTATTCTTGACTCCAGATTGCTTTACCGTCTAATCTTATCCAAGGCAACCCCTTGTCCAGCAATTAGTGCATCTCATTCGAGACATTTGTGTTCTAGAGCTGTGATTGAAACGAATCCTCACCTCCATATTGCGACACTCATAGCACACGCTGTTGGTCCATAACACCGGCGTGCTTCCAGCCGGTTGACTGTCCGCGCACTTGCGGCATGCGCAAAGGCTTTCATTGATGCTGTCGCTTTGACCCGGGCAGAAAGGAACCTCCGGCAATCCTCTGACTTCCACAGCTCTGTACGCGAATTGAGCGTCCGAGACGGTCATGGGATGACCAGCCGCACACCAGCCAATGATGGTGTCGCCTCCCGGGTTGTTGGTAGAGTTGACAAGGCCAGCCAAGTCTTGGTGGTCGGCCTCGAAGAGCGGGCTGTCGCAGCAAGCACACGAGTAGAGGTCGAACTGGTACCATTGCTTCGCAACCTCCAAAGTTTGGCAAGCTGCAGCACGATTCCGTCGAAGTTCATTCAAAAAAGGGCTAGAATGAAAGTCACATGCATACAGGAGCTTCACAACTTTAACGAAGATGTGAAGAGATCACACTTTTAGGAACCAACACGCCCACCGAATTGAAAGTGCCTCGATCGACGTCAAGATAGCATGTCATGCCAAAGGGACTTCAGAAATGTCTCACTGGCAGCTGATGCAGGTGGTGAACTTGTCGAGAACACAAAAAACGCCTCTTAAAAGATAGAGAAACCGCATTAGCGTGGTCCGAAAATCGATAACGGCAAACTCGAGTCCACTGATCTAGCAAAAGAACCGCAGATTGCTGCCTCACAAGTTGCCTCAAGCAGTTATAGAGGAATGTTTGAATCAATTTGAGCTGGATTAGAAGCAAAGAACCACATAGGGAGGAATGAAAGAAGAACGGTCCGTCTTGACTTCCTAAATGTAATTATTTCGCAAGAACTAGTTGATCAATTCACCGATTTATGCAGAACCAAACTGAGCTTGATTAGCAAAAGAACCACAGCAGGGAGGAATGTAAAGAGGCCGGAAGTCGTCCAATCTCACCGTCATTGATGCTCTGAACGGCGTCCGCCTTGACTGGAAGCTTTTGACCGGATTGTTGCACCTTGTCAGGGTGAAAGCGAAGCAACCGTTCTCCCCTTGCCTTGCGGATATCGCCGCGGGAGTCTGTTCTTGAAGCTCCTAGCACGTTGTAGAATCGTAGAGAAGCGACAGCTAAGACTGCACTTGCCATGCTGTCCTGAACACTGCAATATAATGGTTAACAACTTTAGATACTTCGAGGGCTCACCTTTTAAATCAACATCCTTTGACCGTAGCTCTAGCTGGTCGCTAAATAATAGAGACGAACCTTTTTGGATCAGATTTCAATGAACCGTCAAAAGTGATGCTATGATCGTTTGTTGAGCGACAACGCATTTATCCACAATGATAGAAGTGGTAGGTTTATGTCTATTGTTCACACCTTCAAGAATCTGATCAATAACCCCGTCCACAGTGGGTGGCAGGGTAAATCACTTCGGCCCATTCATTGATGTTGGTTCAAGCCAGAGTGTTATCCATGACCCCTCCACCTGAGGGAGTACTATTTGCTATCTAAACCCTTCCATTAGCCCCTAAACCACCTATGAATTTCGAATCCTTATCTGCTAATGGATGCTTAATTGTATAAAAGGTGTCGATCACGTTGGGAGACACACTGGCGTGCCGGCTGCTGCAAATCTGATTTGGCTCTTAATTAGGCAATGAAAAATGGGCTGAATAGAAGATTCCAGAGCTAGAGCAACCTGATTTTCAAGTGAATCGAGAGAAGAATGCACGCACCTTTGCAACCAACGACAAAGCCAAAACCACGCAAGACGTCTTGAGGCGGATCCTATTCCAACCACTACAATTCTATAGTCTGTTCTAGTTCAAAACACAAGGGCACAAAGGATTTCTAAGCCTCCATACGAATCACATGCACTCTTCTCCGGCTGCACCATATATAAGCACTCAAACCTGCTCCTTACAATCACGATAACTTCTCTGGAAGGCTGAATGCTGAATGCAATTTCCACTACGATTGAAGAGCGCCTTCTCCATTCCTTGGCTCTACAGATGCAAGTTGTTTTTGTTAGCTAAGAAAGGCTCGTAGCTCGTACTGGTTTGTAGAAGGTAGACTCGTGCTAGAGCGGAAAACAACTTCTTCTTCAGCAGGCCATGTGTGTTTCATTGAGTCCTATCCGAGAAAATATCCCATGTCTCGAGGCTACGATCAATGATGGAGTTTGTTTAACCCTGGCCGAGTCATACTGCGTTCTTTGTCTTTTTCTTTATCTGTGTTCCACGTGGTTGGTGAACATGGGAACATGTTACCGTTCATTAATGCATAGCCGAATCTCAATCATTAGATTCGATTCGGTGAATTACAAGGTGTACGGATCAAAAACGTACCCTAAAGAAAACCCTAACTCCGCAAATTCCTGTATGCTGACCATGGATGCGGTTTTGCCTCTAACTTGGGTTGCCGGTTGCTTCATGCTCGTCACACAGGATCTTGGGTCTAGCGTGAAGGGACGAGGCATAAGAACCTATCTGTAACGATTACGACTGGTTAAGCCTAACCTCGTTCTCGACAGGATTTCGTTGACCTGCGGGTTAGCGAAACGGCGGTGGTTACGTCTTAACGACGCACTGCGTGGCTGTCTGCAAGACGCCGTAATATCCCGAATGGATCGGCTTCTGTGAGCCGATGTCACCGTTCAGGATAAGTTGTGTTCGGCTTCGCCGTTCGATGCAGCCAAGCTTATCTGTGCTCTGCACAGCTTGCGTGGCTGGTCTTGTCAAAGGTAGTGGACAAGAGAGAGCTATACGAATAGCCGCATAA